AAGAGGTCACACTCAAACTTCCCTCTATAGATATTCTCAAATTCTAATCTCCAAGCTTCAAAGTCTCTAACCAAAATTACAACGGTCTTCAAGTGTATATATAAGGTGAGGAGAGCCCTCCACCTTCTTCCTGAATCTTCTTCAATCATTATGGTGGTTGGGCAGACATTGAGCCCTGCACCAATAAATGTGGTGCATGCCATCATTAATGGAGGAACCACCCTAACAAGATCACATGGGTACTAAAGGTGTTTGGATGAAGTTTTGAAAAAAGGACTTTTTATGCTTTGCTTATTTTAGAAGGACTTTTTTCAAAAGCTAAAGCTAGAAACGATGGCAATGAAGGTGGTGGCGGGGTTGTAGTGACAGTGGTGATAGCAACGACGATATAGTTGTGGTGGAGGCAATGGCAATGATGATGATGGTGACATTGGCGGCAACGACAGTGGTAGTGATACTGGGGGAGCTGAGATTGGTTGGGGTTGAGATAAATTTGGATTTTGAAAAAAAATTTGGCTTTTGACTTCTGCTTCTTATTGAAGCTAGAAATTTCAGCTTCAATAAAAAGCAGTTTTTTTGGCTTTTTTTTATGACTTCACATTTTTTTAAAGCACACATCCAAACACTAATTTGTAATGAGAAGAACTATTTTTTTAGAAAAAAAAAAAGCAGCTTTTGGATAAAGAAAAAAACTTATCCAAACGGGCAGGTTTGGTAGCTCTTTTTATAAGCTAAAAAAAAGAGATTTAAAAATAAAATTAAAAACTGTTTGATAATTATATAAAAATTTTAACTTAAAAGCTCAAATTAAGAATAAGCTGATACAACTTAAAAAAAGCTCTTCCTATGAACTTTTGGCTTTTGGCTTCTTCTTTTTTCATTATAAAAAAAACTAATTTTAATATAAAAGCTTTTGAAAATCCTATGACATAACTTCTACTTATAAAAAGAAAAGAAACGAAAAAAAAACCTTCCAAACAAGCACTAAAGCAGCTCCTCCCTCACTCTATAAATAGCACAAGCTCTTAGGTACACATTTTTCCTATTTAACATAGGGAAAAATGTATATTATTTTAAAGGATGTAAAATTGTGACATTTTAAGTGAGAGAAAGAGTGGACAAAAAAATATAAAGGTGTGAGTCTCACCTCTTTGTGAGAGTGAAATAATATAAGTTGTGCTATTTAAAAAGACAAACACTTTTCCTTTAACATACTTCACCTCATTTATCGACTCAAACATGAGGAGGAGCTACCATTAACCACCATCAAAGAAGACTTCAAAGCAACATCATAACCTCTCCATGCAATTTGGTCAAAACAATGTATCTAGCGTTCCTCACAATATTTATGCATTGACACAATAGTCACAATCAAAGTGCATTATCAAGAATCCCTCTAATTTTATGAACTTCCCAAAGATCAACATAAGAGGGGTTTTGTGTAATATGACTTTCAAGATCAATAAGCAAGGCCTAGGGTATAGGAATTTCTCCGGAAAGTGATGGTTCAATTTGGTTTTCTTCCAAAATGGATCCTTCGAATAGTGCACTTAATGTGTATCCATTGTCTCGTACCCTTGCTTGGAAACTAGTGAACCCAAATTCAGCTCATTTTCGGTATAACACAAGTACCTAGTCGTTTGTCAAAAAGAAATAGGATATGAATGAAAATAATCAGATGGTAAGGAGCCTGAGTCCTTTAACCAGAGGTCTCCAGTTCAAGTCCTGGGAATGGAAAAAAAGGATTTGGGAGAGCCGCCCCCGAAAGGATCCGACAGTGTTCGATTGAGGATTAGTCTTCGGTTACGGCGAAGGATACCCTTCAGATTACTGGAAAAAAAAATCATAAAAGTGAGAGTAATATAAAAATGTTATTTTTTTGCCAATATTTGATAAGTGATATGCGAGTACTCGATATAATAACAGCACTAAAAATATTTTCCCAAATTCCTCCTTGCACAATTGATGCATCAGAATACTCGTCTTTGGAAAGGAGAGGAGGTAAGGTATAATCTTTCTCACCAAGTTGTTGAGGATATCCAAATGTCACCCTTTCATTTTGAGAAAGACTAAATGGTGCGGCATTACGTGAAGTGTGATAGTTACATGGTAAATAGTGAAAACAATATTCGTATGTGTTTATCCTTGTCGATCTGTTTCGAATTCGGTATGCTCTTTTTTTATGTTCCTAATAAAATATTTTCAATTAAAGATAGAGATATAATATTAAAATGATAATATTTTATCAGAAGGACAAATTGAAAATTGAGTTTAATTTTGATGCATTATAGCTTTGACTAAATTAACAATTGTATAAGATATGAAACTCATTAAATAATGTAGTAACACATGATTGGGTGCAACTACTAAACTTTTTATACTAATAAATCAAAATTAATTTCTTACATATTTAAATCCCTCCGTTTAGATTCATATTTATGAAATTAAAGGTTTCTATGATAGAAATGGATTTTCTCGTGTGTTAAATAATATGGTCATGTCATGTAAGAGAATTTTAACCATCAATGTACAAATTAAGCGATGATTTTGTAACTTTCTATTTTAATATTTTTTTCTCTTATCCCTTATCACTATTATAACTCTTCTATGATTATGATTCTCTCACATGAGAATACTTACTCCCTTATGTGATACCCTTTTTTGTGTGGGTGCAGTTACCTCTTAGTAATTAGTTATTAATATCTGTCCATGTATCTCATTTAATTAATAGATAAAAATTTGAATTGATATTTATTTTGCATTTATAACATACTAAATGTAGCATATAACAAAATATTAGCAAGGTCTCCTTTACACTTGATCCGTCAAATAAGGATTAGGCTAGATCACAACATTTGAGCTTGGTCCAATAGCTATTTGGGTCTTCTTTGAAATGGATCTTGTTGGGAGATGTCATCGCGAGATGCTTCAGCGAGATCCTTCGCATGATGGAAAGCCTGGGTTGTCTTGATTGGTTGGGACAAATGTTGGGCGTACTTGCAAGACACTCCGACATTCAAGTCAATATGTGAGCAATGTGTTAGAAAATTTTCTTTGTGGACTACCATTAATTGTTAATTTTAATTTTATAAAAATAGGCTAACTACATGGTTGGTTAATTTCTAAGAGACAAGCACAATTTATCACATTATTGTGTGTGATCAAATTGCTTAATTGAGATTTGCGAATCAGTTTTTTTTCTATAAAGTGTAACTATAGGTAAAGTGTAGGCCATTACTTAATAACTTGTAATGGGAGAGTTATTATGTAAATAATTATATTTGCGACTAGGTCCCCCGCCACTATATCAATATAAATATCTAATGATGCCCTATTAGGTTTAACCATTTTTTAGACTTTCTCATGCTAAGCTTGCGCCATTGATGGCTACCTATCTGAATAAGAGAAGTAGTGGGGGAAGATCTTGCTTAGTGCGATCTCCAGTGTCCAGTGCCTTTGGTGTTTCCTTGTTCATCTATTCATGAAAAATACGTGTATGAATATTTGATTATTGATGTTCTTAATTTCATATAATTTATGGATTAATTCCACACAATGAGCTTCAAGTCGAGACGGATTACATGATGACGGGCTTCAAGCCTTCGTTATAGTGATTGGTTGTCCTAATTATGCCGCCTTAGTATGACGATATTTAACCTCATTGATGGACAAAAGTTACTCTTCCAAGTTATCTCGCATGCGAGATGCTCAGTTGTGGGCTTTGCCTTATAGGTGTAGTTAGAACTAGGTGTCTCTGTCCCTTAGTTATTGATTATTGGAGTGGTTGTAGAGCTCTGAGCTATGTGACTATTAGAGCTGGCAAAATGGGCCGAGCCCGCCGGGCCGGGCCGCCCCGCCCGCCAAACGGGGCAGAGCGGGCTGAGTTTTCTAAACCCGCTGCCCGCCCAGGCTGATTTTTTTTTTTTTTAATTTTTAGTGTAAAATGTGACGGGCTTGGCGGGCAGAGATATCTAGCCCACCTTCAATGGCGGGGCGGGGCGGGCCAGCCCGCTTTTTGGCGGGCTTTTGGCGGGCAGGAGCGGGGCGGGGCGGGCAGCCCGCTTTGCCACCTCTAGTGACTATATACCTGGGGGGATGAACAAATTTCCTTAACCTTTAAATCTTAACTTTGGACCTCTTGGACAATCATGAATTGGGACTTTAATCCCACGCTAAATAAGTCATGAAATAAGTCCAGAGCAAGACTTTACAGGTATGCATGTTAATATCATTCATCCCACTTAATAAATAAATTAAGCATTGACAAGAATTAACGCCCGTCCAAATCAGCCTACTTCTCCCCTTCCTTTTGCACCTTAACTAACCAATAAAAAAAAGAAATATTTATATAATAAATTTGTTTAAAATGTGTTAAGTAGTTTTTTTTTATTAAAATCCTTTGCTAAGAATCTGTATCAAATCCTACCATCACTTATTTCATTCCTCGAATCAAAATATTTAAGCCAAAAAAATAAAAAAAAGTTCAGATAAATATGTAAGAACTTTAAAAGTATACCATGTACTAAAACAAAAAAAAAATTAGGTAAATCAATTTTATGGTGCAACGTGCAGATTGCATCAAGGATAATTTAACAGAACATTTCTGGATATCAGAGTATGAATCCATTGCACAAGGACTTATATCTAGACATGGCTAGGTTCAAAAAAGTTTCTCGGCTTTTGTGTGTCAACATTTCAAACAAAAATTAATTACGCATGAATTTCTTTTGGGTGTCTTAACTGTAAACACCACCAATGATCCACCAATTTTCCTTCCCAATTTTACTCTAACGAAGAACACAATTAGAATAAAACCAATTGAATTTATCAAATATAAACAATTACATTTATGTCCTCCAACAAAATACCTGCATATATACACAATTGAACAGGAACAAGATTTGTATACAACAAATTAAAATCATGAATGCCAGAGTAATCAAGAAAGACTAAATTCATGGAGATAGCATAGAGACAGCATTCTTAGCTAAATTGTTTCTTCCTTAATAAGATATTTGCTTTGAGTTCAAGATAACAAAGAAACATTTACCCATCTTAGATGATGGAAGTGGGAAATGGCATAATTACTACCCATATTCAAAGTAACATATTGAATAATACAACTATAAAATCTTAGATGCCAACCCATTTAGTTAAGAAAACATTTGGGTTTGGATCTCATCAATAAGTCTAAATTACATAAACCATTACATAAACTGCAAGGTAAGTTACTAAACACCTTTAAAATACATAAGCAAATTAAGCTGCTGCTCAGCATCTCCAAGTTGAAACTGAGATAAGTTCTTTCCTCTGCCAGCATAGAACAAGAGAGGAGGGCTTTCTCTCCACTTGAAATCCTCGAACAGGTGCCCTCTGTGCTAAACACTCAGCTTGAACTTCTGTGAAGTTACTAAATGTGAATGGAGAGAAACCAGATTGAAAAAACAGGTTCCTCCAAGAAGGTAATTTTTCCTGTGAATGCTGATGACCTAGTATAATTTTCTTGATGGCAGGTTGAATGAAATGCCTCTCAATCTTTTGGAGGACATCTAGATTAACATTTACCGCATCCAGTGATTCGAGCAAAGCTGAATAACATTGAAGAACATGGACTACGTTCGTGGGAAGTGGTACATCAATTCGATCACAATTTTTATCCAAAGTCACCACAACTTTTGGCCTAAGCTGCTTTACAAAGTGAAGGACCGATGGAACCAATGATGGATAATTTGTGAAACATGAAACTGGCATATTCACAGCAATTGCCTCATTATCAAAGAACTGACCACGCAGGGGACAAGAAGGAGAGTTCAATGATTCAATGCTTAACACATGGAGCTCAAATGACATGTTGATGTCTTTTGCATATTGATTCAAATGATCTCGGGTAAAATTGAGCTCGACCTCATCGCATGTTGAGGGTGATACAACAGCAGTCACTTTAAGTGAAGGTGCACCACTATTTCTCAAGGCAAGCTCTTGCATAAGAGAAGACCATTGCACTCCAAACCCGATATCAAAATCAATAATATGAATTTGATCAAACCTTTCCACAGCTTCAATAAGGGCTTGATTACATGTAAAATTGGAAAACTGAAGAACAGGTGATATCTCAGAAAATGATTTATAAGCCCCAATTTTGAATATGAAACTAATGGGTGAGAAAGCCAAAAAGTTTTCATTGTTTGGATGAAGCAGTAACTGCAAGGCCTCCTTCATGTAGAAAGCAGCCCTTTGAAAAGGCTTACCAATAGGGGAGAGCTGGTGATTGAGCCGCGCCAATATCCCTTGCGCATGAACCGGATTACCAGCTTCTATCAGCTCAGCAGTTTTGTATAGCTGGTCAAATATACTCTGCTGAAGCTGGTGGCTTGCATCATCTCCGGTGGAACTCACCTTCTGCTGTTTTGTAGATGGCAAAACCAATGATTGCTGTTGTTGCAGATGATGAGGAAACAATGGAAGCTGTGTTTGCTGCCTCCTACCAAATAACTCTTGCCCTGAATCCAAAAGGGGTAGCCTTGGGACCTGATGATTGTGCCCAACCGTGTCATAAAGAGGGCGTTTTGCTTGTTGCTGAGAGAAAACTTGTTGCTCTTGCATTTGAGGGTAATTCAATGGCACAAAGAAAAAGGGATTCTCAGAGAATTGAACTTGATTCTGGTTTAACACAAACTGGGGATTGATAACTTGAGGTTTCTCATCTACAACTCCAAACTCTTGGTGGTGGTGGTGGTGCTGCTGAGAATTGAATACACCAGGAGATGATGACATTAACATAGGATTGTTACCAGAAGCAGAGAAGATAGATTCTGAAACCGAGACAGAACCAGCCTTTGCATTGTGGCCATCTATATTCTCAGCAATGAATGAGAAACCAGGATAATTCCCAGGCACAGAAGGGTCAATATTACTTTCCATATTCAACCCTTGATCCAAACCACCAAAACCTCCATTGAAATCAACATTTTGAGACCCACAACCACTGCTTTGCAAGAGCTTGCTCAATCCTGCAGATGGGTCTTCAACATCACCCATGATTAATCTCAGAATAGATTGATCTTGACCCTCCCAGTCCTCCATACGCATACCACATTTTACTGTGCTGTTTTCCAAGGCTTCATGAGGTGGATTCTCTGAGACATTTGGGGCTGCACAAATGGTGTTGTTGGCTGAACCACTGCCACAACCACCACCCTTGCCGCTGCTGTTGCTACCGAGAGAAGAGGACATTGTTGAGGAGGAAGTAGGAGGACTTGGGCTTCTTCTGGAGTCAAGAACAGAGGTGGGCTCAGTGCCCACATAGCAATACTCTTTGTCTCTGGTCCACTTTTGTTGTTGATGCAAAAGCAGTGATAATGAATCTGTGGCAGAAGAGAAATCCAACACTCCCTTCCCTTGAAATTCCTCAAAAGGAAAGGGCATGGCCTTCATCTAAGAAAGTTAACAAGGAGAAGAACAATAACAGTGCCCACAAAACCAACCACCCAAAAGACTCCAGTTTTTCCAAAAGTTAGCACCTTTGTTCCCCACACAGCAGAAAACTGATTTGGACAAAATGGATTTGTAAAACCAAATTTACAAATCCAGAAACATGGTTTAGAAATTAAGCAAGTTTAGATACTAAAATGTAAAAAAAGATTAAATTTTTGGATTGGATGAAAGGTTAATTTTTGTGGGGTATTCAAAATATTGTTCATAAACACTAACGCAAACACATAGTGTTCCAAAGTAAATAAATAAAACAACTTGAGCACCTCTAAAGCTTGTTCTTTTCTTTCTTGTTCTGTTGCATATTAAGCTCCAAATAGTTGCAGTGGTGAAGGAAAAAAGCCATGAATGTGATTCTTTGTTGCTTGTGTTTTCTGTGTGGAACACTCTTTGTTGCTTGTGTTTTCTAGGATGGATGCGTGCAACGTATTAAAGTGGTAAAGTGCTCTCTCTCTCTCTCTCTCTCTACTTTTTTAATTTTTCTTATTTTTATTTTATTTTTATTTTTTTTTGTGTGGAGCTTGTCTGCATACGTAGTTTTCTCTCTGGATGGTGGGGACCGGCGTTTTCTCCATTCTCGCATGTAGCGCGTGAATGTCAACTTTGTATTTTAACGAATTCTATTAATTTCTTACTATTCTTAAGGCTTTATTTAAAATTTATTAAATCATATCTGGGTTTAATCCAATGGCGCCTTGGTTGTAATAATATCTGAAAATTTGATCTCATGATAATTCTTATAAGAGTAAATATCCTTTTTGGTTCTCAGAAAATTTCACGAGGTCCGTTTTAGTCCCTAGCAAATAAAAAGGTCCATCGTGGTCCCTCAAAAATTCAAAAGGACCCATTTAGTTGAAATCGTGGTCCCTCACAAATTCAAAAAAGAGCCATATTAGTCCTCAAAAGGACTAAAATGGGTCAAATTTAAATTTTTTAGGGACCACAATGGGTCTTTTTATTTGCTAGGGACTAAAGCGGGCCTCGTGAAATTTTCTGAGGACCAAAAAGGATATTTACTCTTCTTATAAATTATCCAGGATAATGACTAGTTCAATAACACACAAAATTAAGTTGTTGACATATAAATTTTTATTAGGGTGAGTATAATATTCTCAAAATTCAATATATTTTCTTTTTATACCGACTTTAATTATCTCTTTGAGGCGCGAGTTAGCCTCGGGTATTCCCAGTGTTATTAAAACCAGATCGGCCCGGCCGGTCCGACTAGTTGGCCCGGAAATCGGCCCATCAACCGGTTCGGTTACAACATTGGACCGCTTAAGTAATCGACCCGGTATTGACCCGGTTATAAACCGCGGTTCAACCGGTAAACCGATACCAGTTTTCTCTTCAAACCAGTTTTTCAAAATTAGTTACAAAATATTTTTTCGAACCCAGCACATTGGAGTGAGGAGAGCCGTTTCATACCTCTAGGCCACCATCATTGGTTGAATAAATTATACTATTTAATACATGGGTTTTCGTTTTATCCTTTAACATAACACAACAAACTTTCCTACACTCACAACATTTTGTGGGGCCCACACTTTTTAAAACAAATAAATAAATAAAAAATTAAGGCACGCAAAACGAATCTCTATAACATTACACAATCACTTTTCCTACAACATAACTCTTATAAAACCCTTAATATATTTATTATATAACTATTAAGTTGAGAGAATTATTTCAAAAATTGCATGTAATGGGGTTCGAACCCCTTGCATTAAGGATATACAACATAGCAAATATCACTAAACTAGATCAGGTTGTTATTTAGATGACACCATTTAAAACATTTATTATATAATTAAGTATAAAATATAAATTTATATAGCCGGTTCAACCAGTGACCCACCGGTTGAACCATTGACCCAGTGACCCGGTACCTCGACCGGGTCAATGACCGGTCCGGTTCTAATAACATTGGCCAATGTTATAAAAATCGGACTGACCCGTCCGGGTCGACCCGAAAATCGGTGAACCGGTCATGTAACCGGTCCGATTTTCATATTGGACCGGCATGTTACAGAACTGATGTGACCCAGCTGGTTTTCGTAAAAATCGGTGATCCGATCGGTTCAACTGGTGATCTGGCCCGGTCTATAATAAAAAAAACTAATTTATTTTCATAAATTAATGTCTTCTTTTTTTTTACTCTCAAACACAAATGATTTGTTTTCTTTTGAAATATTTGAGTGATTTGTAGCTTATTAACTTACATAGATTATGTACCTACAACACTAATATTATCTTGATTATGCAATATGCAGAGAATTTTGATTTGATTTATAGTTAGAGATATCGTTTACTGAACCTGAAACACTAGTATCACAAATATTATATGTTTGATTAATCTTTTGTTGGACACTGATTTATAATTTATTATTTTCATATTAAAATATTTGAAATTGGTATATTTTTTACAAGTATTTAAGTATATTTATAGTTTTTTTAATATAAATTGTAGAGTTACATATACTTATCGGGTCATGCGATTGAACCAGTGACCCAGTACCTCAACCGAATCAATAACCGGACCGGATTTAATAACCTTGCTTTGACCTTTTTATGGAATGAGTCTTGTATCTCTCGTGGCCCCGTGGGATAGGTCTCCGGAATTCAATCGGAACTTATTTCAACATACGATGATGAGTTGTGCTAAATTGACCTATACTTTTTGACATTAAAATAATTGTAATTTTTGTATTGTGTAAAATTTAAAAACTTTAAGACAAGAATTAAATAAAAATATTTTTATTTCTTATATCATGAACTTATTTAGTAATTTGTTGGTCTATTAGCCTACCGACATATTTAAAAGTAGACCAGTTGACTTATTCAAAAGGTTTAATGTAAAATAGGCTATTAAGCCGTATAAAGCTTTTTAATAAATTTAAGCAAAGTCTTAACAAAAATGATGTTAGTTAATAAATTAAGTTCAGGCCTTAAACTAAACTCATTATTTTGTTAATATAGTTACGGAGTAAATATCTTGACCAAAAATTTCGGTGGGATTAGGTATTGAGGAAACTCTCCTCTGAAGCCGCGTCTGTGTATAGTTCTGGACGTTATTTCCTTTTCAGCTTTGCTGCATGTTTCACAGTGCAAACTACTGAACTGGTTTTATTTACTTTGCGTTGGTAAATGAGTTTTCTCTTTCTTTCCTTTCACTATCATTAATGACTTACAAAGTACAATGACTTACAAAGCTTAAAACTGTAGAATTTGATATCTCATATGACATAGTGATATTCAATAATTATAGATCAAAGATAATAATGTTATATTTTATTTAATAAGAGATGATCCATTTTCCTAGAATTTAATACTTTTGTTAAAAAAAATTTGAATTTGATTTCGTATTGGAGCTATTACATAATTTATATTCACTTTTTATTAATAAATTTTCAAGAAATTTTTTTAAATAATAAAATATATTAAAAAAGAGTGTAAATACGCTCTATTATTATGATATGTCCTTCCCTTTTCTTTTTCGTTTTTTATTTTAAAAAATTTAATAAATTAAATTTGTCTTAAAAGTGTATAGAGAAGGGTGTATTTATTTTAAATTGTAATAAATTAAAATTTTAATGTATTTAAAATTAAAAAAAATAAATATACGCTTATTTACTCAATTTAACAAAATTCACTTAAAAAACTATTTCTTCTCTTTTATTATCTTGTGACATTGTATTAATAAATTAAGATTAATCTCATATATATATATATATATATATATATATATATATATATATATATAATTTTTCACCAATTAATATCATTTTCTATTGAAAAGAAAGTCTAAGCCTGGATGCAAAGAAAAGTGACCTGATTAAACAACAAGACAATTTATTTGAATTAATTCTCTCTCAAAAATTTAATAACAATATATGTTTACGGGTAAAGAAGAGATAACGCTACCAATATTAAATCCATATTTTTTTTTTTTAAAAATATGGACATTTCCGTCCGAAATGTAGACAATCAATATATATATATATATATATATATATATATATATATATGAGGCAGGATCCTTTGACACCAGTGTCAACTTTGAAATTTGACACTTCATCTGAGAGTCATTAGATCAAAAAAGATGAACGCTATGATTTGTAAGCAAGTGACACTATTGATCTTTTTTGATCTAACGGCTCTTAGATGAGGTGTCAAATTTAAAATTTGACACCGGTGTCAAAAGATCCTGCCTATATATATATAGGGAAATACCACTCTCATTTTACATGAGATAATTATCTCATTTTATCTCACTTCGAAAATCGCACTCCCTCTTTTTTGCTTTTTAATTGTGGACCCTACTTGAATTCTCTCTATAGCATGAGAGAGCTACTCTCATGTAACATGAGACTAATATCCCCATATATATATATATATATATATATATATATATATATATATATATATATATATATATAAACTTGTTTGTCATAGGAACCGGAATTTCGGCTGCTAATGCAACTATTATTATCAAATTAGGCAGAAATTTAAGCTTCTAATTGAATTTCTTATTTTATTTTATCATGGTATAATTTTTTTTTTTTTAATTTGGTTGCATATTTGGAACATAAAAAATCCACCATGAACAAATAAAGTAAAATATCCATTTAAGATTTGTGAAATATCCAATTTTTTTTTTATGTTATATATCTAATGCTCGCCCCCTTTAGAATTTACAAAAATCTTTAATTGTAAGCACCTTTTTTTATTTTTTGTCATATAAATAAAGTGGAAGGATATATTTATCACCAAAAAAGTTTATAACCTTTACAACTAACCTAATCACCATTGATTTTCGTCAATCTAACGACTATAATTTATTGAAAATTATTGGGTCGTATTTATTAATTAACTATTAATTTCTAATAAATTATAACCGTTAGATTGACGGAAATCAACGGTGATTAGGTTGGTTGTAAAGGTGGTAAACTTTTCTGGTGGTAAATATATCCTGCCCCATAAATTAATAGTTGTAACTTCAAAGAAAATTTTACATTATGAATTTTCCTCCCTTGAAAAAAAATTTGTGACTGCCAATGGTCGGACATCAAATATCATTTAAAAATATCTTAAAACATTGAGTTTATGATATATTTTATTTATATATACCATGCTTAGTCATATTTATTTCCGATAAAAGATTTTTTATTACTCATACTTAAATTCCCAACACTTAGAATTAATGTTATTAAAATCGGCCCGGTCATTGACCCGGTCGAGGTACTGGGTCACTGGTTCAACCACTGGTCACTGGTTCAACCACTGGTCACTGGTTCAACCGCATGATCCGGTAATTATATCCAATTTTGTAATTTATATTACAAAATTATAAACATACTCAAATATCTAAGCAAAAATGACA